TGAGTACAAATATGAAACCCTAATTGGCTTGTACCCCCTATGGGATACCCCACTATAGCCTACACAACAGCATAAGCTATAATGTTCTGACAGTGTGCAATGCCTTAGTAGGTGCGGTACCAGCAAACGTAGACGCACTAGCACCTAGGGCAGCAGCCTCACCAGGACCTAGAGCAGCAGACACGCTAGCACCTAGAGCTGCAGCCTCACTGGTCCCAATATCCGGGTCGGGCGGTACACTCAGGTAACAGTCACCCTCAGCACTAATAGTCAATGCATACATAGCAGCAAGGATAGTATCATAATCAAGAGCAAAGATATCAATCCCCTTCCTAAGCAGATCAGCCCAGCGGGGCAGCTCAGGGGCGTCAGGGAACTGCTCGCGCCAGGCGTCGTCGAGGCGAAAGAAACAGCGCTGCGCCGTGTGAAACTTCCCACAAGTCTAGCCAGTGCGTTCACCTGTGCGGATGACGTACGGGCAGGTACCTCCACCCCCAGACCCCCCACGCTGAGAGTATCACTCACGGAGCTGCTGGGGCGAGGGAGTCTCGCCGAGACGCTGCTGCTGCGGCCTCTGGCCACCGCCGAACCCCCCATGCTATACCGCTCCACCGCACCCGCCACCCGCTCCACCGTCGCCACCACTGCCACCACCGCCCCCACCACCCCCACCGTCGCCGCCGCCGCCACCACCCCCTGTGCCGCCGCTGACCCCCCCACCACCCGCGCCACTCCCACTACCGCCACCACCCTCGCCCCCCCCACCCCCTCCACCGCCGCCGCCCCCGCCTCCACCTCCACCACCCTTGCCCCCCTTGCACCTGCCGCCCTTACGCCTCCCACTAGGAGCAGACGCGGCCCCGACCCCCTCAGCTCCGAGGTAGTCGACAGCAGCAGCAGTTGCAATGGAGGGGAGGAGGGGGGAGGGGGAGCACCCCTCAAAGAAGGGGGTGCGGGGGTCACCACGAGAGGCACCTACAGCTACAATGCTCTTCTCAGGTGCTAGGAGTTCCTTCTCGAGGAGGTCGACAGTGAGGTCAGTGGGGGAGAGGGTGAGAAACTGGTCCCTGATAGTGCAAAGGGAGTCAGGGTGGCGGGTGACAAGGTGGTACCGTGTGAGGTACATCGGGGGGGGGGGTTCTTGGCGAGGAAATCGGGGGGGGGGGGAGTGCGGCACGGTAGCGAAGATCACTAGTACGAAGGTGAGTGATGAGGTCAGCTACAGTGGCAAAGGCAGACAGATCAGGGAAGAGGTAGGGTAGTGAGAGACGGCCTATCGCAGCAGTGGCAGGGGAGGAGTAGCAGGCAACTACAGCGTCATACAGCTCCTTAGTGGTCTTATGCTGGCCGAAGTGCTCGCGCTCATCTAACGGCAGGTGGCTGCGAACGGCTAGGCGAGCATGGGCGTCACGAGTCTGCCATTGTGAGCGAGTAGTATTGTCAGCAGTAGCAGCAGGTGCGGGAGCAGCGCCGGACGTGTGGTCATAGAGGGAAACATCGTCCTTGTCGGTGATCTGGAGGTACAGGTGAAGGTCATCAAGCCAGACATCGAACTTAATCGGGCGGCCCTCGCCGTCAAAGGTGAGAACAGTGGGACTGGCCATAGTGGCAGTAGCAGGAGTAGCAGTAGCAGTAGTAGCAGTAGCAGCAGTAGCAGTAGCAACAGTAGTAGCAGTAGGAGCAGGAAGAGCAATTGCAGCAGGTAGGGCGGCGCGGCTCGGTCATGGCGGCGCGGCTCGGTCAGGGTAGTGCGACTCGAGCGACGCGACTCGGACGGTGCGACTCGGGCGACGCGGCTCGGGCAGGTAAGGCGGCGCGACGGCGGGCCTAGGCTCACTGCGCGGCGGCGCCTAGGGTGCAGCTGCGCGCGGGCCGCGGCTGCGTTCTAGTGGCAGCTAAGCGTGAGCTACAGCAGCCAACACGCGATCCCCGCGGCGCGCTGGTTGCGACCTGGGGGCAGGCGGCTGTGGGTCGCGCGTCGGCCTAGGGGCGAGCGGGGCCTACGGGCGACGGCCTGCTGGGGCTCGCGAGAAAAGATCGGGCCGCCCTAGGCGACGGTTTTCCTACGCGGGCTAAAACGGCGGGGCCGCGCTCGGGCTGCTAGCGGGCTGCACACGGGCAGCGTGAGAGGAGAGCGCACTAGGGCGCACTAAGGGAGAGGCGCACGAGGGCGCTAAAAAAAAGGGGGGGGCGCACGAGGGCACCTCTAGCGGAACGGTGGGCCCTTAGGTCTAGAACCTAAGCTCTTAATACCATGTCAGAAACAAGAAGTGATTGAACTATGAAACATTGGAGTACAAGTATGAAACCCTAGAGTTGTGTACCCCCTAAAGGCTAACCCACTATAGCCTACACAGCAATAATAGATATATAATGTTTGGCAGTCAGCTCCAGCGGCGACAGCCCGTTTCATTGTGACGGCGTTGACGTGTACCGTTGAAGACTTGGGCGACTGCCAGCGAGGTAGCTCGACCCAATGACCACTACTTCGCACGGTGCAGCTACCCGTCGTCCAGTCAATTCGCGGGTTAAACCGTCGCAGCCAATCACGTCCCAGTAAAATATCGTGCCCATCCAGTGTCGTTGCGAGCATTTCCTGTGTAAACCCGAGATTCCCCCCGCAGCGGACTTTTACTCTCTCTACCTTCTCCCGTATGGCCAGTGGCGTGCCGTCGACTAAGCGTGCGTCTATCTCCGGTAAGCAACGGCTAAGTGTCAGTTGCAGTTTTCGTGCGGTTGCGGTATTAACTAAACTGTGGCTTGCTCCTCCGTCGATAAAAATCTTCATTGCAGCTCCCCCTATTTTCCCGTAGATCACTACTGGGCAATCCGTCGCTGTACCCTCCTTATTCGTCCGAGTCCGATCGATAGCATGAATCGGTACTTTGACTCGGTGAGGGTCGGTAGGGTTGGGCGAGCAGGCAGTCTCGTCAATAGTTGGCCCGATTCCTACTAACTGCTGGCGTTTCCCTGCCTTGGAGACTCCCTCCCCTGCTCTGCTCCGCGCCGCCTTAGCTCCTCTTGGCATTCGCTCTTGCGATGGCCCGGCCTATTGCAAGCAAAGCAGCGCCCCTTAAACTGCGCGGCAGTTGCATTCGTCGCAACAGCGTGTATAGTGGCGTGCTCGATCGGTCCCCGAGGACGATGTCCATAGTAGGACCCCGGTCTCGGACGGCGTAAAATGTCGATTTTCTCGGCGATCGCGAGAATCTCGTTGAAGTTTGAGAGCCCGCGTAGCATCATTTCGTGCGAGATGTCCGACTTCAGCCCTCTGACGTAACGGTCCATTCGCTCCGCTTCGTGCATGTAACCGACTTGCTCGCATAATGCGAGAAAACCACTCGTATAGTCTTGAACCGATCCGAGCTGCCGCCAAGTGCGCAATCTCTGACGTGCCGAAATAGAAGCCGCGATCGGCTTGAAGCGTGCCCGAAGCCCTGCGCACCACGCATCCCACGTGCTGTATTGGGCGGTCTCGCAGAATGAACTCCAAGTGACAGCTGGACCCGTGGGCCCTTCCTCTTGCGACGGTGGCTCGTAGGCGCGTGGCGACATCACGATGACTCGCCACCAGTCCATGGCGGGGCCCCTTAGCAGCGAAACGGCATACCGAATCTTCGCTGCGTCCGACTCGACGTAATTCGCGTCGAAGAAGACGTTCATCGTGAAGACCCACGATTGAACCGTCGGACCTCCACGCTGGCTCGGGTCGAAGCAGGGCGGGCGTTGCGGCTTGGGTGGCATTGGTGCCATAATGGCCTGTTCGCCACTTGTCGCCGCGAACTCCACGTGCCGACAGGCTTCGCGAGGCTCCCGCGGGCTTGGTGCGACCCTGTTTCCTCCCATGCCAGGCATCGGCTGGGCGGCGCCATCGCTGGCTGCGCCCGAGCGCTGTCCCACGCTACTGTTTTGTGTTGGTGTGCCGGACGAGATGACGATCGGCTCGTCCGATTGTGCAAATGCATTTGTCGGTGCGTGTGGTGGCGCTGGAGTGTTCATCGTTGATTGCTGACGCGCGGAGTCACGTTCCGCCGTGAGCGTCGCAATTTCGAGCGCCGAATCTTGAAGTTGGCGCACCAGACGGTCGAGCTGCTCCTGTGTGAATGTGGCGAGCGTGAATTCGGCCATGGCGGGGGTGTAGGGCGAGCTCAGCGAGAGCCTCGGTCGTGGCCGTGCGTGCTTACGAGAGAGCACTACGAGCGGCGGTGCTGTGTCGCTGAGAGACGTCTACCCCCCCCCCCCCCCCAAAAATTGAGATAGTGGGGAAGCGAAGGTGTAGGTGCGGTTCGAGAAGAGATCGTAGGCTCTGAATACCAAGTGTTACGAGTGCAATTGAGTGAACGAACGAGAATTGCATTATAGAAGTAAGAGTACAATGAGCGAAGGCATGAGCGAAGAATATATATCGGAACTACAGTGGTAACGGTAATGGACTGTGGTTGTCGCGTGACGGGCCTGGGACTAAGGTTGGGAAAAGTGTCGAAGCGGAGTCCCGGAGTGCGGGTTACCTGCCGAGCCGTGAGGTCGGGGTGCGACGTGTGAAGGTGGCGGGAGGATTGTCGATGTGAGGGTTGCGAGTGGTAACGGTGCTGACTGTGGTGCTACAGTGGTGTACGCGATGAGCAGGGACGCGAAGCAAGGAATTTTCCTTACACATATGCACATGTGTGTGCACCATATAAAGTGAAAATCGAGGAAATAAAAAGCAAACGCTTAACGTGAAACCATAGCCTATCTTTACAAGGTGTTCCGAAGCCTCGCCACGACGATGCCATAGTTTCCACAGCATTTAAGATCCACAAGAAAATGAAGGGGGCTTTTACTTTAATATATAAAATTAGCATGATTCAGACCTCGTTAAAAAACGCAAGGGACAACAGTTAGCCATGTGCTAACTAGTTATCTTCACTACAATCTACAATGATTTACAAAACATTAAACAGCTCTCAAGAAGAGAGCCATTGCTCCATGACATTCCCCAATAACTTCTTAGTACCATATCACCGGATCCACGATGGTTGCACAGCTATGGGGATCCTAACCGAATGCCCTTTACCATCCAGCCACCACAGGCTCCCAAACCGAAACAGCTTCCACGGCAGCTGCAACGTAAGCATCACTTTAAACACCTGCGTGGCGCCAGGCGCAATCGTGAACTTCCTCGGCTTCACCTTCACCATCACCCCAAACGGCTGCTTCACTTTAGCCCGGTAAGTCGACGTGCTTGTCGCAACATTGGTCACCCGCCGCACAATCACCACTGTATTCTGCAGCCCTTGCACGGATATACACGGCCGGTTCAACTGGTACGCCCGCAGAGGAGCCAGGGAGTCCGACGGGAACATGGCCTTAGCCCACCGCATCTTCCTCCCTGCGAGAAAGTTCTTATAATCCGCCTCCACTGCGTTGTACGTCAACCCCGGGTCCAGCACCTTCTGCGGGTTGATGTGCCCCGACCCGAGGTGCCACGGCGACGCTCTCGTCGCCGACGCGTGGAAAATCGGCGTACCCGCGCTGTTGTGAATCCTGGCTGTAGTCATAATCGCCGACATGACCTGCGCGGGCGTCCAGTCCGAATGCGCCTGGATGATCAGCGCGGCAAACCCGGCTACGTGCGGTGTGGCCATGGAGGTGCCGGAGAGCATCTGCGCGTTGTTGGGGCTCGTGCCGGGGGCAGCGGAGTAGAGGTTGACGCCCGGGGCGATGACGTCTGGCTTGAGGATGTGGTTGGTGGGGTACGGCCCGCGGTTGCGCGCCGTCATGGGCGTGAGCGGACCGGTGGAGGAGAAGGTGGCCACAATGGGGCCCTTCATGTAGTTGAATATGTCCAGGATGGATAGGGTTGTTGCTCTGGTGGGTGGTGGGGTGAGGGGGGTGGATGGGCAGGGGAAAGGGAGCGGGAGTGTGAGAAAAATGGAACAGGGAAAGAGGTGGGCGAGAATGTAGCGACTGTGGGTCCCTTCATGTAGTTGAATTTTGTTTAGGATGGACAGGGTTGTTGCTCTGGTGGGTGGTGGGGTGAGGGGGGAAAGGGCAAAGGAGAGAAGAGGAGGAGAAGGTGAGGCGCGGGAGTTGGAGTGCATGGGGAGTGAAGGAGAGATGAGGGTGCAGCACAATCTACCCATGCCTCACATGCGAACCATGCCAACTCACCTCCGTCCGCCCTTCTTGCCAGTGCTCTTGGCAGTGAGTGCGTTGATGAGAGCAAACATGGCCGCTGAGTCATCATGGTCCACCAGCATCACTGGTACCGTCCATGCCTCGCTTCCACTTAACATGCTCTCCATACTGCTGCTGCCGCTGCTGCTGCTGCTGCTTAGGCTGCTTATACTGCTTAAGCTACCAGTACCACTTCCATTGCTGCTGTCACTGCTGCTGTCGCCACTGCTGCTACTACTGCTACTGTTGTTGCTGACGGTGGTGGTGGTGGTGGAACAGTTGGCGGCGCTCCCTTCCAATGTGCACGGCATCTCATGCCCGCCCTCCTCCTCCTCCCCACTCACCTCCACCCCACTCACCACCACCGCTCTCCCTCCCGCCGCCGCCACCACTGCCACCTTCTCCCCAACCGTCAACCCGCCACTCGCACACACCACCACATTCCCCCTCACCACAGCAGGAGCCAGCGACCCAGGCAGGCACAGCCGCGCGGATTCTGTGCTGCTGGCGCCTGGGAGAGCGGCAGCCGCAGCGAGGAGCACGGGGGTGGAGTGGAGAGCGGGCCAGTTGCCCACCACCACCATGCCTTCCTCCTGTAGAGAATGCACCAGCTCACTTGCGAGAGCACTGCTGTTGCTGCTGCCGCCGTCAACAGGGCCGGCTACGGGATAGTCAGAGTCACCAGCAGCAGCGGCAGTTGCAGCAGCAGCAGGGAAGGCAGGGGTGGCTGTGCGAGCTTCTTGCATGGCCACCACAGCGCGCACAGCTGCTGCCTGCTGCTCATCCAGATCGCTGATGCTGCTGCTGCTGCTGCCGCTGCTGGTGGGATCGAGAGCAGAGGCAGTGGCGGTGAGGGCAGTAGAAGTGGTGGAGTGAATGGTGGTGGAAGCGGCAGTGGTTCTGGGAGGGGCCTTCTTCCCATACAGTGTTCTCCCCTTGTTTATCGTGCTGCAGGCGAGAGCAGGGGGGGGAAGGTGGGGAGAGTGGGGAGCGGAGGGGAGATGGAAGGGTGGGGGCAGGGGAGCATAAGCGCGAGAGGCATAGAGGGAAGGCAGGAGAGGATGGTGGAGAGAGGAGATTGGAGGGGAGGGAGAGAAGAAGAGACTGCTATTTAGAAGCTAGAGTGATACATTTGACAAGTGGCGAGAGATGTGGAGTACAGCATTGCATGTGCAGAGTAGGGGGAGCAGCTGTCCTTGCAAGCACATGTGAGTGAGTGATTGCCCATGCAAGGGTAGGCGGTTGGTTGGAGCAGGGCGAGTTGCGGTGGGTACCTGGCGCCGATGGTGAGGTGGAGGGGCGTCAAGTAGCAGAGCGTGGGAGGAGGGTAAAGCTTGGAGGGGGGAGGCAGGGCACGCAGGAGGGGAAAGAGAGGAGCGTACCTGGCGCCGACGGTGAGGTAGAAGGGCGAGAAGTTGGAGACGGAGCGGAAGATGTAGGGGAACAGCAGGTTGCCTGGCGGCCGGCCTGAGTTGCCCGCTGCATACACCACCGTCACTCCCGCCTGCTCGCCATGGCATGGCATGGCATGGCATGGCATGGCATGGCATGGGATGGCATGGCATGGGATGGGATGGGATGGGATGGGATGGGATGGGATGGGATGGGATGGGATGGGATGGGATGGGATGGGATGGGATGGCATGGCATGGCATGGGATGGGATGGGATGGGATGGGATGGGATGGGATGGGATGGGATGGGATGGGATGGGATGGGATGGGATGCGACGGGATGGGTTGGGATGGACACACAGACACAAACATGCGAGGGCACACACAGAGAATCACGAGAGCACACCCTCTCACGCTCTCCTTCACTCCCTCCCCTAACTGCACCTGACTGCCGCCCTACTTGCCGTCATGGCACCTAACCTCCCACACCCCAGCCCTGCCTTCCCCTCCCTCCGCCACGGCCTTCACACGCCCCCTCGCGCACCACATTGCCGTGCATGTAGGAAACATCATCAGGGTACGTCACAGAGTGTCCAGCACGCCGAGCGAGCGACAGGCTGGGGACCCCATTCCTCCTCTCATTCCCGCTCCCATTTCCCCCCTCCCCTTCTTCCTTTCCCTCCCCCGCACGCCACCCCACACACCACATTAGCCTGCATGTACGAGACATCATCAAAGTATGTCGCAGAAGGCCTGTTCACGCCCCTCATGCCCCGCACCGCAAGCCCCTCACCCACGCGCCACCCCGCTTACCAAGTTAGCCTGCATGTACGAAACGTCATCAAAGTACGTTGCAGAGGGGTCCAGCGCGCCGAGCGACAGGCTGAGCACATCAGCGCCGTCAGCCATGGCCTGATCCAGCGCCGCCTCGATGTCCGCGAAACTGGCGGAGGAGCTGCCCTGTGTCTTCCAAAAGACCTTGTACACGGCTAGGTTGGCGCGCGGGGCCACCCCGCTGTACGCGCCCAGGTTGGTGCCGAAGGGCGTGATGAGGGTCACGCCGCTGTTGCCCACTGCTGCGCTGTTGGTGGTGCGGTGGGGTTGGGTGGGGAGGGGTGGGGTTGGAAAGTGGGGAAAGAGGTTGATGCGGCGGGGAGGGCACTGATTAGTGTACCTACTTGGGTTAACGTATTTGTTTTAAGCATAGTTAAGGAGGATGTGCCTTGGATTGGGAGTGCGATGGATGGAGCCATTCTGAATTTGTACGACACACACACACACACACACACACACACACACACACACACACACACACACACACACACAAACACACAGACACACAGACACACAGACACACACACAGACATACAGACACACAAACACACAGACACAGACACACACACGCACGCGCATGCGCTGTTCACAGACCAAACGGCGTCAAAACTTGGTACTGTTGAAAGTTCCTGTCCAATCGATCCACTTCCCGCCCACCCACCCAGCGTCCGGCCCCTGTTCCTCCGCGATCACCCCACGCACCCTGCGACCTCACACTCACCCCGCACACCACGTGCCGTGGCTGTCCGAGTCGCGCGGCGAGTCGTAGTCGTCAGTGAAGTCGCGCGCGCCGATCTCCGCCTCGAACCCGCTCGAGAACGAGCGCGCGCCCACCAGCTTCCCCGTGCACAGCGCCGCGGGGAAATCCGTCGTCGCGTCGCACGTCCCCGCCCACGTCCCCGGCGCCGAGAACGAGCCCTGCCGTTGGGGGAGGACGCGGCGAGCGGGGTTGGGGAAGCGGGGGGGGGAGGGGAGTGGGGAGGGGAAGAGGAGAGGGAGAGCGGGGAAAGGTGTTGGTATGGAGGGGGGAGGGGAGGTTGGGAGGGAAGGTGGGGGGATGACCATTCGGGAGAAGCCTGCCATAGGCTGATAGGGATGATCACTTATTAGAGCTCTCTTCTCAAAACTAGAGCTCTCCATAGCCACCACAACGACCTCGCCCTTCTCTTTCCCGCATGCCCATCCACCCAACACACTCACCCCATCTCCTGACACTCCCACCCTCCGCCACTCCCTCTCCGCCCCCGCACCCCAACCCGTCCCCGCTAAGATCTCGTCCCTCCCCCTCCCCGCAACCCCCCATCTCCTCCCCCCCCAACACACGTCATCGGCGAACGACTTGTGTTCGGGCCAGATGCCCGTGTCGATCACGCCAACCACCACGCCATCGCCCTATAGTCACAACAACGACCACGCGGATTCTTCCCCGCATTCCCAGCCTCCCCCCCTCTGCTCACATCATCTAGGAACATCTTGTGTTCGGGCCAGATGCCCGTGTCGATGACCCCCACCACCACGCCGTCGCCCGCGCTGCCCACGCCGCCGGCCTGCGCCCACGTGGTGCGCTGCAGGTCCAGGAACGACGTCGACGGCATGCCGCCGAACCGCTTCGCCACGCCGCTGCGCCGCACCAGCGCCACGTCCGGGTGCCGCTGCAGCCGCCACACCTGCTTCGGCGTCAGCAGCGCCGCGAACGAGTTGCTCGCGAACTTGAAACTGGCACAGCGAGGAAGGGTAATAGGGGTTTTGGGGAGCGCGTGAGTGGGGGTGTAAGGCAGGACGCTGCGGTCGCCACACCTTCTCCAGGATAGCGTTGCTCGCGAATTTGAAATAAAAAAGAAGGGGGGGGGGGGGGGGGGGGGGAGGGGAGGGTTTAAAGGGGGGGGGATGGGGAACGGAAGTGGGGGGTTTGAGAGGGGAGTGGGGAGGGAGCGAGTGGGGATGAAGAGGCAGGCACCTGGCGCCGCCAAGAGCGCATTGCGTGCGAACTTGAACGGCACGCGGGGAGGAGAAGAGATGGCGTGCCATGCCGTGCCACGCCTCACACCTCTTGCCGCTGCCAGCGCGCGCACTCACTTGTAAACGGCTTTCGCCCCGATCTCCGCCGCCAGTCTGTCCTGCTGCGCTTTCAGAAACTTCCCGAACGCGCGCACGTGCGGCAGCCGCGGGTTGATCTTCCACCTCCTCTTCCGCGCGCCCAAGCCCTGCGGCGTGGCGCTGGCGGCAGCGAAGCCAGTGGCGTTCCGCCAAGTGGCGGTCGACGCGGCTGAGTGAGCGGCGCTAGGGGCGGGAGCGGGGGCGGCGGCGGGAGGCTGCGAGTCGGATTCGTTGCCAACAGCACCGTCATCGGCAGCATCAGGTGCGGGGGGAGCGGTGGCGGGGTAGCTACCAATGCCGCCGCGATAGCCGGTGATGGGGGGAGCGGATCGTAGGCGGACGATGTAGAGCGCCTTCTTGGGGGCAGTGGGCACTGGGGGGAGAAAGGGGGGGAGTGGGGGGAAACGGGGATGGGGGCAAAGCGAAAGTGAGAGTGGTTCAGCGGCGATGCGGGTTGTGGTATGTGGTGAGGAGGACGGTGGGGAGGTGGGGGAAGAAGGGTATGAAGGAGGCACATTGGCGGAGAAGCGCGGATGTGTGAATACTAAGAGGGGTGCTGGCGATGGAAGGGGAGGAGACGAGAGGATTTTGGCTGGGCTTGCGGAAGGCAGAAAGGCGGCGTCATCGAGTGACCAGCTAGACGGTGAGTGCGTGAGTACCGGACCCGGTGTAGTGTTCTCGCGGCTAATTACACGCGACACAATAACGAGGTCAGCGTTAGCGAGGATAGCGAGGTTTGCGCACTGGACGGGGTAGAATTCCAGTCGCCCCTGGGTGCTCAACTTTACTCTCCGTCACTCCCCTTCACTCCCCATCATCTCCCCAATCTTTGCTAATCTTCCTCATTCGTCGTTACGTCGCACGATCATTCAATTCTCCGCAACCGTGACGTTTATCCGTTCTGCTCTTCCTCCCTTCGCCCCCTCCCGTGCTCCATTCAGTCGTACCTTGAACGCACACGGCGCATCGCAGGCTGCAGGCCACCACTAGTACCAGCGCTAGAAGCACCCGCGCCGCGCGCAAAGCGGCTCGCACCCGAGCCATGCTGCCGGTTCCGCAAGACTACAGGCGCGACGCGACCGTGGGTCGGGAAACGGAAACCCGGCGACGAGAACGAGGCCTTGTATCGGGGCTGTTTCTGTAGTGCCAGATGAACTCTCACCGCCTAAGCGGCTCGTCGTAGGCTGCGTGTCTCCGACGAGCTCGCCGTCGCTCTAGCCGCCGCTCTCGCCAGCAGCAGATCTCCGCTGCTGCTGCTGCTGCTGCTGCTGCTGCCGGAAACAAATGATTGTCTCGCTCTTTCTACTCGTGGCGCCTCAAGGTCTGACCACTGCTGTAATCGCCTCGCGCCGTCGCGCTCGTATGTGGTTGAACCCCGAGTATGCGCGCCTGTCTCAGACGGTACTGCTTTCTCCTTCTATCCCCGCGAAACCACAGCAGCCGGTGGTCTCCTCGCTCAAAAACGTCGTTCTATGTCGCCGACAATGGTCCATCAAGATCGTGCCTGATAGCAGTTGTGCAATGAGCTTCCAGCGAGTGCTTCTGCTTGGGAATCTGGCAAGGCAATGGTTCACTACGAGAATTGCTGCGTGAGCTGTATGTAATGAAATGAGCTAGAATCTGCCCACACATCACGAATTGACGAGGTGCGTAGTGGTTCCTGCCATGGTCACCGAACCAGACGCACAGGTGCACCGACCGACATCAGATCAGACATGCCGAAGTCCCAACCAACCCAAGTTGAACGCGAACACCCCAAGGGGCCGCGCAGCCCCAACACAAGGCGCTTTTTCTTCTCATTTCCACGCGGAACACCCTGGGCTCCATCCATGGGGTCCCGGTCAGGCAAGGGCAGCAGGATAGAGGGGCCCGTCAACGACATTCCCGTGCCCATGGCGAACCAACCACCCAACCACGTCCGAACTCCCAAGTTGGGGTAGAAACTGTGTTGATTGCTGTTTTCATTGTGTAAAGAGCAGGAATCGACGGGTCCCTGACTTGCAGGGATATTTATCGCCATGCTTCGGGAACATCAATCACTCTAATTTGTTTCCGTTCTGATGATTGCTGGGTCCTGCTAGAGGCTTGAGGGTTGTGGTGGCTGAAAATTGGATGGGAAGAGCCAGGAAGACAATATCGGAAATTCGAAATGAAATGGTGTCGCTGTGGGTACAATCGAGATTACAGAACTACTTTCAACAGCCCGCATTCAACAAAATCTCTCAACGAGCCACCCACCTCCAACCGAGCCGCACATAGGCATCTAACTTCATTACAGCAATAGTATCGACGGCTCTCAGGACAGCATTGCAAGAGCATGGAGACGTGGTGACGTTAGATGGACCGAGTTCACGCTTGTCTCAGTTCGGTGGGATGGTGACATGTCACGAAGCGCACACATTACAAGAAACACGCGACCACGGTTCCATCAACAGTGCCATTGGCGGTGTGGCTGCAAGATGTTCGACCAGGGCTTGGTTCACTTGGGAAGGCCGAAATTATACCCCCTTTTCCAGCTGCTGAAAGAGGCTTCTGGCCCATTGAAAATAGCATCTTTTAAAGAGTTTTCTCGATATTCCATAGCGCATCCGGCAACATCGCGTACAGCAGCAGCCGTTGTTCGCCCGTTGCAGCTAATGGAGCTTCGCCGACTTCGCGCACACTGTTTCACCAAACCATGCACTGCTGGCCCGGCTGTGTCGGCCTACGCTTCGGGACTAGCCCGAACCTCGATGTCAGCCTAGCACTAGCTAGCTCGCACGCACCGCGTTACCTTTTGCATGTTTCGCGTATAAATGGTCGCTCATGCCTTCGCTCACATTTTGGCAAAGGGGGGAATCTATAGAAACTGCTAGCCGACGTACCAGATGGTTTGGCAGCACCCCCGAAGCGGTACAGTGGGATATTTTCAGATGGCCTGCCGACGGGACTGCTGCGGATAATACTATTCAACGGGAGAGCTTGAATAGCGTGGGACACACGGTTAGAGCTATGACAGTGATTCTTAGGAGTGAACTTAGTTGCCTTGGTAGAATTCAAGCATAGTTTCACTATCAAAAGTTCATAGAACAAGAATATGATGCAAGCAAGGAGAACCAAATAGCAAAGACAATTAACCCCGTAGAAACATTCCTCGACAAACACTTGAATCTGTCGAGTCAGCAACGTCAGGTGAAACGACAAACAAATGCATATTTCACCTGAGTTGGTAGTTGCTCTGGTTTACAACGTTCATTGTTGTGCACGTTATTACTGTTAGTAAAAACGTGTTTCGGTTCAGTTTCCTTACTGAATCGAATTCTCCTGGGGAGTACAATTTCCGAAATTACCTGATTGGTCGAGATTCGCTGATTCGTGATTGGGCGAAATTCGTACACATTGCAAATTTTGGAGCAAAGTAAATCTGGTCGACAAGAATCGCTCTGCTCGACGAAACACTCGTCAAACAAAATTCTGTCGACCAGCAATCCGTCGAAACACCAATTCTGCCAATTCCGTCCATTGGAAAGGCTCGTCTTTGACGCTGTTTTACTCCCGTCGACGAGCTCCTCCTAGACGAGGACTTTGATCGAGTAGAGGAAACACTTCTGCCTCGACCAATGAATCTCGTCGATAAACGACTCGTTGCACACAGATGAAAGTCCCCAAAGTCGCCGATGACCACGAAACGAACACCGTCTTGTTCCGAAATGCATGGTCGACTTCGCCCAAGCGAGGGCCGGGCCTTTTCTCTTCGACACTGGCAGAACATATATGAAGCTTATGCTGTTGTGTAGGCTACAGTAGGGTATACCATAGGGGGTACAACCCAATTAGGGTTTTGCTATTTGTACTCACTTCACTCATAGTTCATTCATTCTCATTCTATTTTCCACGTGGTATCGAGCAGGTTCCCCCGTGGGAACTGTGCTTAGGGCCCACCACTTTTTTTTAACTTTTTTTTTCTGCCCGGAGCGCGCTCCGGGCCCTCGCTCTCACTCTTTCAGCCTGCCCTGCGGCCCCCTAGCCGCTCGCCCGCCGCCCGTTCAGGCCCCTAGCCGCCCGCGCGCCGCCCGTCCCGGCCCTTAGCCGCCCGCGCGCCGCCCGTCCCGGCCCCTAGCCGCTCGCGCGCCGCCTGTTCAAGCCCCTAGCCGCCCGCGCGCCGCCCGTCCCGGCCCCTAGCCGCTCGCGCGCCGCCCGTTCAGGCCCCTAGCCGCCCGCGCGCCGCCCGTCCCGGCCCTTAGCCGCCCGCACGCCGCCCATCCCGGCCCCTAGCCGCTCGCGCGCCGCCCGTTCAGGCCCCTAGCCGCCCGCGCGCCGCCTGTCCCGGCCCCTAGCCGCTCGCGCGCCGCCTGTTCAGGCCCCTAGCCGCCCGCGCACCGCCCGTCCCGGCCCTTAGCCGCCCGCGCGCCGCCCGTCCCGGCCCCTAGCCGCTCGCGCGCCGCCCGTTCAGGCCCCTAGCCGCCCGCGCGCCGCCCGTCCCGGCCCCTAGCCACCCGCGCGCGCCCGTCCCGGCCCCTAGCCACCCGCGCGCGCCCGTCTCGGCCCCAAGCCGCCCTGTGCCGCCCGCCCCGGCCGCGCTCTCCTGTCTCGGCCCCTCGGCGCCAGGACGCCGCCCGTCCTGGCCCCTCACCCGTCCCGGCCTCACACCACCCGTGCGCCGCCCGTCCCTGCTGCACGCCGCCGTCCCGGCCCCCCCCACGCCGCCCGTTAGCCGCCGTGCAGCCTGAGCCGCCCGAGCCGCCCGAGCCGCCTCCCCCCCCCCCCCTTTTCCCATCGCCTATCGAGGCGACCTGAGAGGCCAGCTGAGGGGTGGCAGGTGTGTGGTCTCCCCTGCTTCTCCTCCTCCTTTGTCTCGAGCCGCCCTGCAGCCGAGCCGCCTCGCCGCCGAGCCGCTCTACACCCGAGCCTCCCAGCAGCCGAGCCGCCCTGCAGCCGAGCCGCTCTACACCCGAGCCTCCCAGCAGCCGAGCCGCCCTACAGCCGCGCCGCCGGGTCGCCGAGCTGCCGAGCTGCAGTTGCTGCCGAGCCGCCCGAGTCGCCCGAGCCGCAGAGCCACCGTGCTGCCGAGCCGCTGAGTCGCCGAGCCTACTCTACCCACCACTGGTGAGCCCCTACCCTGCTAGCACGCTGCGCGTCGCCTGCTTGCCTGCCTGCCTCTCTTTTTGGCTTGCCTGGCTGCCTGCCTTACTACTGCTACTCCTGCTCCTGCCTCTACAGGTGGAGCCAGATGCAGCCCCATCGACGTCTGCGTGAGTCCCTCACGCCCCAGCAGCTGCGTGAGTGGTACGCTGGTTGGGGCTGTAGGGGTGGTGGCGCTACTACTGCTACCACTCCTACTGCTTCTACTACTGGTGGCGGCCAGATGCAGCTCCCGCGACCCCCCCGCGCGTCTCTCACGCCTCAGCAGCTTCGTGAGTGGTACGCTCAGAGTGGAGGGTCTCTCAGTTCTGTTCGCTGCTCTTACGTGATTCTCACTGGTGCTCGGACTGGTCAGCCTTGTGGGACACGTAGTCATACACAGTCCCGCTGCTTCGCCCGTCTGAGCGTCGCCTGGCGTACCGTGTTTGGCGACAAGGCTGAGCTCCCCGACTGGGTGGAGTTGCTTAGGCAGAGGGTAGATATATTTGCTCTTGACTATGATGCTATTCTCACTGCCATGTATGCATTGCCTACTAGTGCTGACCGTGCCGGTCACCTGTGCGTACAGCCTGACCCGGGTATAGGACCTGCTGCTCTAGCTACTGGTGAGGCTACTGCTGCTCTGGGTGCTAGTGAGTCTCCTGCTCCAGGTACAGGTGCGGCTGCTGCTCTAGGTGCTAGTGAGTCTGCGTCCTCAGGTGCGGGTGAGGCTGCGCTCTCAGGTACCACGTTGGCTTCGGCCTCCCTCACCTTTACACTTGACTCTGGGGCTTCTCGCTCCTTCTTTCGAGACCGCACCACACTCACGCCGCTTGGTCGACCTGTTGCTGTCTCCCTGGCTGACCCCTCTGGGGGTCCTGTCCTCGCTCACTTTTCCACTGTCCTCCCGTGTCCGGCTGCCCCCTCGGGCATCCTGTCTGGCC